TGTGTGTGTGTGTGTGTGTGTGTGTATGTGTGCATATATGTAATGTCTTTTCAGCTTTTAATGTACCAGTTGGTGTCAGTGTTGTATAAACCAATCATTCCACAAAATACAGGACGAAAAACGGAACAGTATCAAAGATGATTTTTAACTAAAAATTGTCAAATTTTTAAAGGACGATAAAACGACAAATCACTGTTTGTTAATAAACAATAATTGCTCAATAATGCTTAATTCAACCTTAGATCGCATTTTAATACAAATGAAAAAACTTTCTCTTTTCATAGCATATTCTTTGATACAATTTAATGCTAAATAAAACGTAACTTAGAAATTAAGCTTATTTTTTAAATTAAATTTACAAGCATATATATATATATATACATATACATATAAATTTTCGGAAATTATCTAATTAAAATTAGCAATTGAAATATTTATTTATTGATTTTACTGATTCCATAAACCAGATAATCAATAATACCGATATAATTGTAGGAAATGAATAGCATCGTTCTACTAATTAACGATAATAAAATATAAAGTATATTTTTCATTACTAAAATTGTATTAATGACAATTCTTTTTTCAAAATATGTTTGCATATAATTTCCGTCATTTTCTGGTTCATGTAAAATTTTAAAACCAGTTCGGAATTTAACAAATATGAAATAATGAATTTTAAATTTTGCATTCATATATGACCAATATATACTCATTAACGACCAAAATATCTTTCATTTAATCATATTTTATCAAAAATATGAAATGAGGAAATACTAAGAGTTCGAATCTTAACGAGACAGCGAAATTATCATCTATTTGATCAAATGTTTGTGAAAATATGTTAGATTTCAGGAACTGTAAATCAATGTTCAGGAATTTCGGGAAATTATTCTCATCTCTAACACGAATTTTGTGATTATTATATGTATAATTCCAATAGCTAAAATCCCAAAAATCAAAAATTTGATTACTTCATTTCCATATGCATACAAATATACATCACAATACATTCGATAATTTCAAAAAGTTCAAAAAGAAAATTATTTATATTAAAATATTAAATAA